ACTTCAGCTGCATGCTCGCTTTGCCTCAGACACAAATTTACTCTGGAAATAGAACAGAATATGAAAGCTTCTCCACCCCAAATGCTCATTAGCCTGCCAGGTATGTCACAAGCATATTCCAGGTCACAGATGGCCGGATCCAGTTCTGTGTGGGAAAAAGATGTTCTTGTCACACCTGTGGCAGTATTCTTCTCTTCTCTTTTGCCAAGCAGTCTGTCACAGCACACATAGGGGATGGTCTTGCAAAAGACGCACCAGGAGCAGAGGCTATCAAGTAGCAGCTCCTTCACGTTCATGTATTTAGACAACCAAACATCAGCAAAATAGCACGGGAAAGCACAGGAATTTCTGAGAAGGATAATTGTAAAAGAAAAGCCAAATCTTTGCATTTAAGATGTTGAGTTCCTTACAGAAAATCATATCAGTCTGATAATGCCAGTGTTCCTTTTTCATGTTTCAAAATGAGAGCCATGTGTTGATGCTGTCCTCTTCTGCAGAAGCCACTGTTCCTGCTCACTGCAGCACCTCCACGAACTTAAGCACAACAGAAGAGTTGAGGCAGAACAGCTGTCTCTCTGCTCTGACCTGCACGTTGCAATCGTCATTTGTTCCCACATAGTATCCAAGTACAAAGAGAGAATTTGTTTGGCAAAAAAAGATGCATTTTTTGGCCATTTGTTTCTCTGTTGCACTCAGATGGTGATGTGAAACTGCCATGAAGTATACCAAACAGCTCTTCCAGAGACCTCCTGTTTGCTTACAATGTTCAAAAAAAAAAAAAAAAAAAGCACTGCTGTGAAAGATACAACAGAGACAGCAACGTAAGATTTTTAAAACTTGCATTTCTCCTAGATGCTGAGTTCAGGTTGTCAAATCTTCCAGCCAGACAGATGGTGACAGTGAATTAGAGATTCGGCTATGAAAATCCTGTGATTTTCAGTGGGAGTCATGTGCCTGAAGTAATTTAGCTGTGGAAACTAACTGGTATCCCACCACAGCCAATATTTTTTGTGTCACAGGTCCAGATGCACATAAATGTGTAAACCATGGCTCCTGTTCAGTTCTGTTTCTGAAGCTGCAGCCACAACATCAGTAGCTGAAGCTTTTTGAAGACCTAACAGCCTGAACGACTACCCCGTGCATTTGGAAGCAACTCTACTCCTCCACATTTACAGGATGCTGAAGAAAACAAGACCTACTCCAAAATCCAGGCAAGCTCAGAACATATACCAACAATGTCTTAAAGTTATCTTTTTATATTGCTTTGCCCTATAAATACAGCACCCTTTTCAGGTGACAAAGCACAATGCAAGGCTGAAAGGGTTAATACAACCTAGTTCTGCTAGTCTACCACTGAGATTTTACCTTTGTTTCCCTACTCGGCAGTTGTCTCTGTTAACACCATACTAGCATCTTCCATAGTCCCATGAGAAAGTAAAGCTTCTCACTACAGAAAGATCGGAAGCTTGCAGCTGTAACAAAGCATAATCCTTTATAAACGCCTTTTGCACCGGAAAGAGCCAGAGATATTAAATCTTGATCTAATACCATTTTAAAATCAGAATCCCAAGTCCAACCACTTTAACCTTTTAAAGCTGTAGGTTTTGGCAGCATACAGGACCCTTTGTAAGGATCAGGGCTTACATTTTCCAGTAGGTCACATCAGCTGGTGTGTGAGGCAGCAGCTAAGCCATTTTTTGAATCTTGACTTAATGGTGCACAAAGAGCAACAAGTCAAAGGGATTCCACCTTAAAAAAGCCTACCAAACCCCTCAACCTTGAGAAGAGCTATGCTCCACAGTGCCCTGCCTGCACAGTTCCTGACAGATGGGGTTTGTGGTTTTGCTTAAAGACACTGAGAGAAGAAGTACCTTCAAAACTTGGCAAGAAAAATGTCAGGAGTGTTATTGTGACATGCCAAGGCAACACAGAGCTGAATGGACTTCTCTGGGATCCAAAAGTCTGTATAATGGATGTAGCCCAGAATTCGATACGGCAGTTCTGCCCTGGCATAGACCACATTAAGAGCTTAATTGCCATTTCACCCATACACGCGCAGTTTAGAAATTGGTGGGGTGGAAGAGAGAAGCAAATGGAAAGTCACTTAGACCATGGGGTCTATGAAGTAGATCATTTAAAAGGCCTTTTAAAATAAAATTTATGATGGTAGAGAAGTTTACCATCATCACCTACCAATACACGAAATTGTGAGATTTATTACTTCAAGCTGTTCTAACTAAGCTGCATCCAAAGCCCTTCTCATTCAGCCTTAAAATTCAACAGAACCTCTAATCTTCATCCTATCAATTTTTTTCTGCTTATCCTCTATTACACTTCAACTTAAAATCAAATGTTGTTGCTGACACTCTTCAGCTCCAGTAAGCACAGAAAAAACTTGGAAGGTTTTTTTCCAAGCAGGAACGACTTTTAATCACACAGGACAGGCATCAAAACCTGAAAAACGTTTGATAAATCGACACTTGTTTCTCGCTGACATGAATCATCACACCATGGCACGCAAATGACGCGAACGTGCCGTGTGAGCTCATCATCTCAGAAAACAAACATCACCATTGTCAGCATTCAGACAAACAGCCCCTCCCTGCTCAATCCATTTTTGTTGTCGTTGTCATCAGTCCTACAGAAGATTACTGTGCTCAAAGCTGTGCAGATCTTATTTTCATTAATATAAACTAATGTTCTGAGATGTCATAGGACAACGATTCACCTCACACGTCTCTGCCAGCATTCTTCAGTCAAGACCTACAATTGCCAGGCAAATGCAGAGCACATATATAGTGTCTATGGAAGAACAACAGTGAACTTGCTTCGCGATATACCCAAGCTACAAAAGAGACCCACTTCTATGGTTACCTCATCATCAGCTTCCACGTGGCCCATGGAGAAATCATCACCAGACTTCGGCACAGCCTGGGCCCAAGGCAGGAGCCAACAGTGCAGCTCCAGTTCTAGCCCCTCATGGTCCCAAACAACTCTGAACCTCTCCCCTTCATCCGCTTTTTCAGTCTACCTCTGGGGATGTAAATGAGAGCACACAGTTTGGTGGGTGGCAGGGATGCCTGAAGTTTGGCTTCTATAAATATCAGTCTCTAGCTTCTTCCCCTTTTAATGACACGACTTTGGTATATTGACACCATCTTGCAAGAAAGAATGACCAAAACTATAAAGTAAAATAAAAACCTGTCTAGTCGTAATTCAAAGAGTAGGGGTAGTTGTTTGGTGTCACTGCACCAGACAGGCTCAAAAATTAGATACAAGAGGAGCTGGAACTGCAAAGTGGTCAGCTAAAATCAAACAGGAGGAGAGCTGCACAGATACCAAAGAATCACCAAACGATGAAGTTCCACAAAGCATCTGGAGTACTTCAAAGTCACAGGAAAGATTCATTTCTCAGAGGCTGAGTAAAATGCAGTCAAGGGGGAGTTATAAAATACCGCGTGTGCTATAAGGCACACTCCCCATCTTAGTTGTTATGGCAAGCGATTCACTAATGGTGATTTTGTAATAACTACCACTTATGAAATCCCCTCACAAATAAAAATTATTTATGATGCTTTTAGGAGGCTTAAATAAAGCTCTGAGAGCAAATGCAAGGGTTTATTTCACTGTCTCCTCTCCATGAGAGGTTCAAACACTTTAAACTGATTAATAAGCTAAACAGAGATTGATCAGGGGTCTATGAATGAATCTAAGCAACCAGGCTTCCTCTGAGGTTCACCTTCCTTGTTGGGAAGGACAAGGGGTTAAACAACCCATGCTTTTATTAGGCTGAACAAAGCCACAAGATTGTTTGGTGTGAAACAGGAATGCATTCACAGTCATTTAAACAACGATTAGGATGAAAGTTTCCTCCAAAAGTCTTAAAGCTCCAGGTACACTGGCTGAAGACTACCAAACCACTAATGTAACAGAAAAGGAACAGTATTTTGCCATCTTCTCCTTAGTGGTTGTCACAATGGAACTTGGAGGGGTGGAGGGAAGTGAGAAGATAATTCTGCCTGTTTCCTGTATCTCCAACAAAAGTGTGGGAAAAAAATCTTCTGGGATCCTTTTCTCAAGGGAGTTGACAACTATGGTTCTTTATGCCACCACATTTAAACCCAGAGAACTCTGATATACCTGGTTAAAAACAATACCACATACACCATGCACATATATCTGTGATTCAACAACCGTGTAAATTATTTACATATGTCAGGAAGTTAATCCCAATCTTTTCTTCCTCCATTTATCTTCCTGCTTTTGATCTTCTGCAGCCATCTCCTTAATTCCCAATAAAACCATCATTTCTCTTGCTTCTGTTTCCCCCACCTGCCATGAAATGATGAGTAGTTTCTCAAATGTCTAATGGGAAAATACCTGTGCAGCAGCACTAGGCTACCAGATTATGCGTTTTCAAGAAACAGTACTTCTGTAGGAGGGCATAATGTCTTAAATGATTATGAGAATACAGTCGTTTCTTCACTGTTTGTCACTACTGTATCCCAGCTCCAGGAGGCTGCGTGTATTCTGCTACTGAGTACCCAATAGGTGTTCGTTCCTGATACTCTGGTATCTCAGGAAGGGTTCTTCTGGAAATACTGGAATGACCATCATCTTCCTCCTTTTTCCTCCCTTTCTACAGATTTAAACTTCCAATTTATGAAGTATCATCATTGAAAAGCAAAACAAAAATCAGCATGGATTTCCTCCCTTTCCCCCTAAATGCAGGCTGACCAACATAAAAGCTTCACAAAAAAGCATGCAAACTCTCTGATCTCCTCAAGTCTGTGATAGTGAAGCTCACTTACACTGCTGCTGATGTTCACAGCATTAACCATGGTATTTCTCTATAGGCCAATGTTGCATTACTTCTTCTGGTGGGCGGAGCTGGAGATTCCTTATCCTTGGTTTGTAGTTCTTCAGATGTTTCAGGTACTCCAGAACACCAAATCCCACGTTACCTTAAATTTCCCAGGTTAAAATATATCATTACTCACCTTTTTCCCCTCTGTACTATCACCACTGACATAGGACAGTTTTCGACGGACATAGAAGAGCATATCGTCTTGCCGAGGGGCCCACTTCTCCATAAAATACGTTGAAAACATCCAAGTCCAGAACACAATACGGTCATCTTTGAAACACCCTAAGAGGCGTAAAAGAAAGGAGAAATAAGAGTTGTGGAATTAGCACGTCACATTTGATTGTGCTTAACATGACACCCGAAGTCTTTGCTACACGTGGTGCAGTCGAGCCCAACTGTAGCAGAAATACTCTTGCATGGCTCAGAGTAAGTTTTTCTACAGTGTACAGCATAGCCACCATTCGGCACGAACCCACATCCCGTCTTTGGCCATCGTCAACCAAAACCACCTTCTGGCAACCAATCTGCCACCGTACACAACAAACACAGATCAGGGCCCATGACTATACCCTAGATATGCCTGTGCCACGGAGAAGGACAGGACCAGTGCACTGAGTGAGAATACATCAAAGAAGCACTCAAGGAATAATTTCAAAGGCACATAGTGCCAGTATATGTTCCAGTTCATGATGTGAAGCCATCACCTGCCAACAGGTTTATTATATGCTCTCAGGGAGTATAGCCAGTCCTTCAGAAATGAGCACCTGGTACCCTCCTTAAATTGACACACAGGAACAAGAATGTACCCATGCAGGGGCGACTGTAATTCACCCCTTCTCTGACAAGGAACAAAACCCAGCTCTTCCTCAAGGAAATGAGTTTTGAAGTCCTGAACCCCAATTAAACAAGAAAAAGTAGGGGGAGAAGGGGTAAAATGGGAAGAGGAAGATGCAACAAAGTCTTGCTCAAGGAGACAGACAAATTACATCAGCATCAGCAACAGCGTGGCAGCTGGCCTCTCACCAGGAAAAGGAGGCACAGTAGAGGTGACATCACGTTTTGCACTTAATTGTAATAAACCAGCAAAAGGTGCTGCATCTCTTCTATGCTCTAATGCTTGCACACTGTTAAAGATAAAATTGATACAGACAAGGAGAGAAGTCACTACTGTGCCTGGTGACAAGGGAGCTGAATTTTTCCACTGCTGCTCAGTCCTACTGGAGGCTCCTTGATGAAGTAACTGCATCCCCTCCCTGAAGCCCTACTGAGAGATAACTGCGGCTGTTAGCCACAGTCTAGCTGTTTTAAAACCTGTGAAGAGAGAAACACTAAAAAAAAAATTATATTGCCGAGAAACAGAAAAAACCTGAAATGGATGATGGATGGTAGTGTTACGTACAAGACAGCAAGACAGGTGGAGGTGTGCGTATGTACACGTGCAGCTGACAACCCGTCCTCCAGAACACCTATCCTTTACAGTGGCTTATTTCCCTAAAAGCTATACATTTGCTGCCAGATTGGTACATGCGTCGCTCCCCAGCCCTCAGCTACCATTCAGGTTGGTGTGTTTCCCTCCCAGCAGTACACTGCACATATGAAAAAGTTCTGCAGAGAGAAGAATCTTGCATGAGACAGAAATGACATTTATTTACAGCAGTACTTGGATTAAGCTTTAGAAGATTTTTCCAGTCGATCGCCAAGAAAGCTGACACATACCGTAACAATGAACACTATTTTTCTTAGACACTGGTGGCTAACTTCAGGGCTTCATAAAGCAATCAATCAATCTTTTAATCCACAAGTGTAACTCAGCACATTTTCCTACTTCATTGTGTGTGCAATATTTGCAAGACAAATCTTTCTTCCAATCTTTAATTACTGTGGTGGGCAGGAGATTAGACTTTCAAATTTTTTAGCAGACAAATGGGTGATTGAAATCGAAGTCTTGGGTCTCTCCGACTAAATCCAAAAGTAATATTGAAAACAAAATTAAATTCCACTGATGGATCGTGCACGGAATACGTTAATCAACATCAAGTAGGATGGTATTTGAAAATATGTATATAGTTGATTATATTAAAAAAAAAAAAAAAAAGTAATGAGAAGGCTGAGAGAGAACAGAAAAAGGCCAAGATAGTTCCCAGTGCAGGTTAATTCCAGACCACGCTGCAACTGCTTTATTTGCATGGCTGCAGTGAAGTCATTTCAATTACTTAAGATGGCATAGAACATAACATTCAATCGTGAATCAAGTCTGCAATGCACTTAAGTACTATCCAGTTTTTCCAGCAGAGAAATGGAATCAAACACTGGAGAGATCAGATATGGGATGCTGGGCATCCACGCCATCTGAACCCCTATCTTGGGCACAGGTGAACAGGACTGTATGGCAAACAGCGGTAACTGAGTACCTACCACAAACGTGTTCAGACTCCCGAAACGAAGCTGAAAAAGGACAGGATTACCATTGGTCACTATATTCACAGATAAACACCAAGAAGAGAAAAAGAACTATTCAGGTTTAAGGATATACTGCTGACACAAGGACAAATGGCTCTAAACTACCCACCAACACATAAGTAGGCTAGAAATTCGAAGCCAATTCCCAAGCATTGAAGCCATGAAGTTCAGGAGCAGCCCCCTCAGTTGGAATAGTGAAGACAAAAATGCCTACAGCTGTAAAGACAGAGCTCAACTTGGTTAAGAAGGTTCATGTGGTACCAGTGACAGCCGAGGACACCGTGACCCAGTCCCGCCTCTATATTTAGCAAAGAGTAGAAAACAGGGCATGCATTCATCGTGACTCATTAATGGTCTTAAAGAAACTTATTAAATCCCATGGTTTTGAGTACCTGGATTCCCAGCCTTAATTAAATGGGGAGGGGGGAAGAGGATTGCCCCGAGTTCATCTGGAGTTCTAGGAAAATCAAAGGAAAAAGACGACAAGAATCTACATTCTGTAAGAATCATCTCTGAAAAAGTTCTAGTGTTCAGAAGTATACCACTTTGGTTTTGCTTCATAAACGAGTAAACAAAATAACCCTAGAACCCTAGCCAAGCCATTTTTATATAAGAATGTATAATGTGTTTTTTTGGGGGGGGGGGGGGGGGGAGAGGCGCAGGGGATGGGATATTTTTCCCTTATAAAGCAAAAATCATCAGGTTATCTAAACCCAGTATTATAAAGAAGGGTTAAACCATGTTTAGATTCTGGCAGTACCTGCAAAAATCTGAGAAGCTGTCATATGAGCTGCTTACGCCATCAGATACGTTTTACGCAATAAAGCACAGGAGTTAATATGCTCTTCTGAACTATTTCTGGGTGGTATAACAGAGCATTAATACATGCAGGAGAACAGCAGAACAGGGTAAGGTACCAGGACTTTGTGCGCGCTTTTACCCTTGCTGGGGAATGCAGGACAAATTGATTCAACGTTAGCCTAAACAGAAAACCAGGGGACAGAAGTGCTGCGGCAGCGAAGCTACTTCAGCACTGCAGCATAATGCAGGGGAGAAAAAACCTGAAAACCCTTACAGCAATGTTGGATGGATGTCAATTCAAAACCCCACCTGCGATTAGATGTAAAATTGTCCTCCAAGCTTCAGGGATACTTGCAGACATTGCTGTAATTAAAACCAGCCTGAGGATGTTCTAACTGTTCTGACTGCAGTGGCTAAAGGACTTTTCTTGAAGCCAAAAAGAGCCAAATCACTGCAAAACAGCTGCTTTTATTAAATTTCAGTAGAAGCAGGAAGGATGGGGAACAGCACACAAGAAGAATTAGCCTTTAAAATCTACTATTAAATAGCATTAACTTGGAAAGGAAACATGAGAATCTGTAACTGTAACCCAGACTTCTTAAAACTTGAGAGGGGGAAAAAAAAAAAATCTATTCCAATTTCAAGCCAGAAACTGTCAGATCCAATATGTCCACTCAAGCTTGCCTTCAACTATTAGATCCCCAAAAGCACGGTGTACCTTTACAGTTATTTTGGTGGTTTACAGCATCTCACTGGAAGCCTTCCAGCTTTACTGAGAAGAAACTTGGAAACTGCTCTTCAAATTGTTTTGGGTAATGGTTTTGAAAATGTCAGGCTAACAGCCCAGCAAAGTTATTCTTTCAATAGACAGAACAAAGCACAAAGCCTTAATTTCTCAGACTTTGCCACAGCACCTTGTTGAGGGGCCCCAGCTGCACTCAAGATGGTAGGGCTCAGAGAGCAGTTCTGTCCCCGTTACATGCCACCCACCAAAGAAGTGGGCAGACTCGGCCCACAGTTGGATTGCTGATGACCTTAACCCTCTGCTATTACACTCAGTACTGCTTCTATCCACCTGGCAAGGACTGAGATCAAAAACAGAAGCCAATTTTTCATAGCCCGGACAATCATGAGTTGGCAGCAGCTTTCCCTCATGTTGGTCCATCGCCATTTGCACAACACTCAGAAGATGTGCGTGCACACATATACACTACCATTAAGTTGGAAGGCCCTTAATAAAACACCTGGCACTTAAAAGCCCTTGAAGCTTTGACTTCAGTATTTGGGGAGACCTTTTAAAATGCTAACAGTTTTACTTCTGCCAGAGGAGAATTTGAGCCTTCTGCAACACCAGAATTAGATATTTGCAAAGGAATCAAATTCCATCTATAGTTGAGAGCATGTAGCAAGACAGCTTCCTGAAAACACTCCTCCCCTAGCAAATTTTGCTTCTAAATGAATAAAATGGAATTAAGAGTTCAGACTATAAGTCTTAATACACTAAAAGTTGATTATATAATTATGAGACCTTTGTCATGAATAAATCCTAATTACAACAATTTACTGTAATGATTCATTTACATGGATTTTATCCTCATTAGAAGGAAGATTTATGCCAGCTGCTATGTAATAAATGTCTGTCTTTTTACCTATTAGATTTTTATATTGAACATTCATTTCGGGGAACCGACTCCAGATCCACATAAGAAGTTGTGATTTTTTTTTTAATTAATGCTTTCCAAAAAATCAGTGGATAAAGAGAAGTGTCAGCATATTATTTTGCTTCACAGGAGTAGAAGAAAAGGTTTCCCATTTGGTAGATAGTAATTTTTTCAGCACGTACCACTCAGAGCTTAGAGGAAAAATAATTTCAGCTAGACAGCGTGTCTTCCTATGCTTTTATTCCTCTAGCCTGCCCTGAGCTACGCTTAACTGTGAAACATCGTAAAACATTTCATCCAATTCTGTCACAGTGCTATCATCTGTAAAATAAGCATCCTTAGATGTTTGGGGGTTAAT